CCAGAAAAATGCAGCATGCGACTATTACCCCGAGGATTCCAGGGGCAACCTCTGGCGCAACTTAGTATTACAAAGAGGGGTCCATGACACCTGCCCCGGGATGGAGCTTGGCCCCAAATCTTTACCTTCACCCCATCTGCACGTAGGCAAGGAAGCAGAGCTCAGACTGCAAGATGCAAGACCTCAAGCCTTGGCCTACAGATTTTGCCTTTCTAGGTTTGAAAAGAAGTAGAGTACTACCCAACTACTGAAGGGAGTGTGGCTTTAGGTCGAAGAGTGGCACGCTGCTAGGGAACAGGGTTACAGTCGTTTGCATCCTGCACATTTTGGGTACTTTCTGTCTCGCCACCCAGGACTTGCTCGAGTTCAACCCTCCCATTCTTCTGGAGGTGAAGTTCGGGCAGTGGCTCATGTTTATGATTGGTACAGTCGCCAAAGCTGTGGAAAGGAGAGATGTAACTTCTCGCCGAACGTTTGCTTACAATGGCTTGGCTTGGGATAACCACCTGTAGATGAGCATTTCCAAAACCACTTGTGTATCCCACCATACTGTCCTTATCTTAGATGATCCCAAGAGTATATTATATCACTGAGACTTGGAAAGCCCACATTGATCTCAATGCCGATCCCGGCATGCCAAGGCTTCATCCCATGTAGGATGTTTGACGTTCCGCATAAAGGATCCGTTCTCCAAAGTCAGCAAGCATGATATTAATCAATATTAATCAATGGTAGTTTGGAGAAGTCTGACAAAACGAAACTAGCAGTCAGTCAGTCAGTCAGTCAGTCAGTCAGTCAAGCACGCTAACCTTGTGCAGTAGGGCAAAAGGGGGTCCCCTTGTTGATTCTCTGCCCATACCCTACACAGAAATGCACATTGAGTTTTTATATCTCCTCATGCAATTCCTACTTGAAAGAAGCTGAAAACTGGGAGGCTGAGGATCTCCAGGACTTCTGCTCGCTGCCGCCGGGCTGACTTGGAAAAACTTTTGTGGTTTTGAATACTTTCCCCCGTGAGAGCCTTCCAGAGACACATGACCCGGCAATCCGCTGAGACGGCTCCTAGCAAGGCTGGGCATCACTCCTGCCTCGAAGGCATGGGCTGAGGCCCGCGAAGGGTCACGGTTCAGGGCTTTGAAGGTTTCGCGGTGTTGGGCTTTTGCGGATTTTGGGGGTCCTAGGGCTGACATGGGGTTCTATAATGAGTTCATGGATGTAGAGCATGGGTTTCACGGGGTGAAATTCTTGTGTTTTAAGCGTGCCGTTGCTGATGTCCATGTGAGCGTGAACCTGTTGGTATGTAAGGTGTGTAGGGGCGGTGGTGGTGGTGGTGGTGATGATGATGAAGATGACAACCAGGACCGTCTGGATTCTGGTGTGGATGTTGGCGAATCTGCAGCTGTAGGACCAGTCACCGCCTTCACTGTCATTACCACATATTGCGTGCTTTTGCATGATTCTCAAGTTGTTGCTTGTACTTCGGGCCCATTGCCTGCAAGGTCATGGCTTTGTGTGGAGCCGCGAACTTGCTTTGTGGCGACCGTGCAGAAGCTCTGAGCATCACCGACGCCCTGCATGACAAGCGGTCAGTATCCCTTTGCCACAGAACCGGTTACTGCTTTTTAAGTGAACATCTTCATCGCTCGCATGAAACACTAGGATTCCTCACAGGGAATGTTTTGCTGAAAAAGATACCTTACAAGCTTTGTGGCCCCTGAACGTGCGAGGCCTCTGACCGCAAACCTGTTGCTAACGGAAACTCACTCTTGCACCCAGAACGGCTGCACCCTTAAGCACTTAGGAGAAGCTTCTCGTAAACCGCCATGCGAGCGCTTGGAAGAGACTGGTCTGCCAGTATTCGTATTGCAAACCTACCTGTAGCTTCAGATTAGCAGGGTTGTCCTCTGAAACTACTGGGTTTCAAGGTCAAAGCCAGGTGAATATTTGGCTTGCTGCTTTAAACATCGATCCAAGCTTGAATGCCCGACGGTCCTTAAGCCAGAATCTCACTCACTTCGCTGCTAGCTGCTCGTGAGGCTTGCGGTGGCCCTAGCGGCGGCTGATGGTGGCGAGGACTCATGTCAAAGTGCTTTGACGGCGGGGTTGTTTGCAAATGGAGCCTGAGAGGTTTGGACTAACCGGGGCATGCTTGAGGGGCATGGGGCTTTGGTTCAAACTTCATGAGCGACACCAGCTGAAAAGATTGGGCTCAATGCCCATCCTGCTCACCGCTAGCCCGGGCGAGCAGCCCCTGTATCATGTGCCGTGCCCTGAACAACTCTGACGTCTCGGAGAGGTGAGGTGTATCCCAATCCCCTGGGACAAAAGCTCCATTGCCTAGCCTGAAGAAGGACACATCAGCCCTTGTCGCAGATGCGGTTCGTGTTTGTCCAGATGAAGATCTGCCTCGGCTGCTGAGTCACTTCCAGCTCCCTGCCTGCAGGAAAGAAGGAGTTGGAGCTAGGTTCTTCGAAGCTGGTCTTGTTTGGATGTGAGGTGGTTGTGCCGGATGGACTGAAGCTACCCCTAAGAATACAAAGGGTTTTCTCTGCCTGTACATGACGCCTGTCTGTTGAGCTGCCCTGAACAAAACATAATCTCAAGATCCTGACTCCCCATGCCCTATTTCCAAGTCCTACCTGAGCCTGCCTTGACATCCGACAAAAGCCAGGTTGAATTCAGGACTGCAAGGAACGACTTGGAGAGAATTCGGGCCCAATGAGACAAGAATTTATCTACTTATCAGACCTGCTCAGCAGTCAACTCTCAGCTTGTGGAAGTTGTGTGGCCCGGCTAAGCCACCTGCGCTGCCGTAACATGGGTAAGGTATGGCCGTTTGCCAGAGCCGCGCCGTTGCGCGGAGGGTGGCGCTCGAGGCTATGCCTGCGATGAACAAGGCACTCGTCAGTGTGCCGTGACCGTGTTTGCTCTATCAATGCTCGAAGGCATGTCTCGCCATACGTATGCTGTTCCAATCGCAGTCCAGGACAGCTTCATTGCTAAGTAATCATGAGGTTATGCGAAAAGGGCAGGTGCCACTTGTATGATTCGAGTTGGAAGCAGCAATGGTTCCAACCAGCATTCGCTGCACTACAAAGATTGCCTCTTCAAGGGTTCGGCATGCAGATAACAGTTATCAGTCCCAGTATATCAAGAGCTTAGCATTTGCAATCACTGGCTTGACCCTCAATTGTCATTAGTATCCTGACCAGAATGAGCATGGGACTGTGGAAGCTCCAGAAAGGGTATGTGAATGTCTGCAGCTGCGACTCAGAAGCTTGCTCTGAGCTGCCCACGAAACACAGGGCCCGCAGACACCAACAGCGGCGACAGGATCCACTCAATCCTGCCCTCTGATAGTTTGCACCCTTGTGCGTGATCTGCAGAAAACAGAATTAACACCGCTGCCGCTCAATCCCTCGAAGCCTACAAGTCACACACAACTCCAGTGCTTCTTCAACCTCAACCATTCCAGGGCGGAGTTTTCTGTCCCTTCAGCTCGAGAAGTATCTGCAAGACCCGCCACCGACGTGGACGGGCTTGCTTCTTGGCAAGTACGACAGGCTTGGCTTAGAAAGTCTTTTGTGCTAATTCATGGTGTTTCTGGCTTTTGCTGGTGGGTGCTCTGCTGTGTATCATGTTCTAGGGCTCGTGATGGGGGGCTTTGGCTCTGTGGCGGACGTTGTTTGACCCCCAACACCCTAGTTCAGAGAGACCAACAACAGCATTTTAGATTTAGAGTTGTGGGTTTCCTGAAGTTCCGGCGCAGCATGCCACAGACGTGTCGAGCCTCGGCAAAGCCCGTGTGCACAGCTGGCCAGTGCACAGCGGCGCTGTTGTTTTAACGAAGCTTTGCGCTCCCGTGTCTTGCTGCTGTTTGCCTAGCATAACCTGAGTTTCCACCGCTCGTTGGCCCTTCCCTGTACCAATCTGTTAGAGTGCTGATTCCGCCGGAGGACATAGCCAAGTAGACTCTGCCAACGATTCCGAGCATTTTCCGAAGTCAAGACTGTGAACCTGAAATCCTGTAGCTGAAGCGATAGATGCTTTGCTACGACTTCCGAAGCCCTAGCGTGCCCGTTGCCCAGGGCTTTAGGGGAGGCGGCTCCCCATTTGACGCCTACAGAGCTTGAGGCTGATCCTTCGGGGTGGGACACTGAGGCTTCAAGGGTTACATATTTGGCTTCTTACCCAGGCTGGGACCCCAATACTTGTATACGCTCAATTGGCATTTATCTGGTCAGACATTGTCGATACAAAAAATTGGCCTCCCACGCGATGGTAGAGCACGTGAGATTGAGGCTTGCAGTTGTAGAAATTTGCCCGGAAAAGCTCGACACGTTCAAGAAGCTGAGCCGATTACCAGTGCGAGCTCGCCACAGACAGGCCCGAAGCGAAGCAGTTTCGCAATGCTCGTTAATTGGATACAAGGTCAGCAGCGCTCGCAAAAACCTCAAGCCATCTCAAGCCCGTGCACCGCGGATCCTAAGCCGTCAGGAGCCCGAACCTCCAATCCTTGAAGCTCGAAACCATCGTGAGTCTTGAGCTGTAGAAGATAGCCTCACTTTTTTTGAAGGCCTGGGCAAAAGATGCGATGAGCTCGGTCCCTTGGCTGGAGATGCAGCAGGATATCCTAAAGTCGTTGGTTGGAAAAGGAGCCATCTATAGGATCCAACGCCTGCCCTGCCGCTGGTGGTAAGCCGTGCATAGGTTTGAAAAAGCATTCTGCAAACCACGCCACGAAGCATGTTCCGCACCCTCGAGCAATCAGCATCTCTGGGACCTTGTTTTCCGTTTTTGCATGGCAACCAGAGCGCCCCACGTGCTTGACAAAAGGTTGTCAAAAAGTTGAGCCGACCAGAAATGAAGGCTGGACGCAAGCAGCTAGGACGGCTCTGTGGACTGCTCCAAAACAGAGCAGCCGACGAGGCAATGCGTAACAGCACAGCTTTGGCTTGGTGTGCATCTGTGCTGGACGGGCAGGGCCGGATTGCCTGCTCATGTGCCAGGGCCACCACGACAACGATGCCGCCGCCGACGACCAGGGCCGCCGCCGGCACCACCACGACCCACTTTCAGCGAGACACATCTGCCGGGCAGTGGTGCTGGGCAGTTGCGCGGACGGCACTGCTGCGGAGCCACCCAGATCTGCGGTGCTGGCGGTGGTGGCAGGTCACTACCGACGTAATACTACTAGGAATCATGCTACCTTCGTGCAATCGCAATGCCAATTCTTGCAGTCCTGACAGGCACTACAATACAGAGAAACTGGCAATGAAATGAGCAGAAATCTTTAACCCTGAACCCTCTGCAGGGCTGTTATTTGAAACGAGCCAAACACCAGAGACCCTTAGCCTCAACTCAAGTCCTTGTCTCTAAGCCCTCCTGAAGCCAGAGCCCCAAAAGTTCAAAAGCCTTTGAAGCCCTCAAGCCAGCCCCTCGCAAATTGATGTGCCCTTGGGGACCTTGGAGTTTCCAATTTGTTTTCCAGTACCCCTACATAACCCCAATATAACTCTTATTATATATAGCCTATATTATATAATCCCTATACTATACAGTATACAGCCCTCATAGCCCCAAAGGATTGCGACCTGGCCTTCGCTCTCCTCCGCTGCGCGGGGGCAGAGCCTCCGGAGATGGTCTCCTCGGTTTCTGCGAAGCCTCGGAGAAGCCGATGCCCCAAACGGTTGAATATGACATTAGGGTTAAAATGGGTTTATGTAGGGATAATGAAAAAGAAAAAAACGGAGACTGCTACAATGGGGTTATATGGGGTTTTAGGGTTTAGGGTTTAGGAGCACCCCTACCCTGTAATGGTGGTATGGTAGGACTATAATAGGACTCTAGCATGATCCTTATTATTCCTTGTATTCGCGGAGGGTCCACCTAAAAGTCCTTCTCATACTCAGGGGAAGATCAGGAATGCCACCTTCCGTTGGCTTTGGATTTGGGCTCCAGGGGGCAGGGAGTAATGATTTTGAAGTCGGGCGTTGCTGGTGTGAGGGTTGAATCTCTCCCCTGATAGCGACCCGTTTCACTACATCGGTGCTTTGAAGATGGATATCAACTAGGGTGAGTTTTAAAGTCCCCAAGGACATCAGAGAATCCCTATGCTGCGTTTTTCTGCTGCAAGGTGCTGGCTTGCCAACTGTGCCCAGCGAGGGCGTATGGGACGAGCCAGACTCAGAGGCAACAATGATAGAGCGGGGTGTAAAGGGTTTGCAGTTTGGGGTTCCATGCTTTCGGGTTGTAGGTAGGGTTCAGGGTTCTGAGTGGAACTTTGAGGGACACAAAACGGTACGCCTCACGCCTGACACGCAGAAAAGCCGCACTTTTCACTCACAGGCTGGGGCCCATACCTGACACGCAGAAAAGCCGCACTTTTCACTCACAGGCTGGGGCCCATACGTAGCAACAACACATTTTTCATTGTAGTCTAGACCCCATAATGTCACAGCCCAGAATATTCCAGGGCTACAAGCTTCGAGTGTGGGTCCAGGCCTGGCAGGAGCCAGACGTGGCAGCTGCTACGGAGCTCCTCGTAGCGGCCTCGGCAGTCAAGAGAGCAGGGGGTTCATTAACGCTTAACACTCCCTGTAGGTCTATCAGGGTTTAGGGTTTAGAGTCTGGGATGCAGAAGAGGAGGAATGGGCAGTAGTACTGGAAGCGGTCGTAGCAGGAGTGTCGCTTAGTTGATGTTGCTCGTAGCCTCATCATTGCTGTCAGGAGTTGTAGTGGTAGCATTACTACCACCGCCACTCGCCCGCCGCCGCCACCACCATCACCACCGACGCCGCTGCCACGGCCAACTATAACAGGAGCAGCAACAAGAACAAGAACAAGAACAACAGTAACAGTACTTGCGGCTGTTGGAGTACAACACCCACCCAAACGAAATACGTTTGCTATTTAGGAGGGAAGAGGACCCATGCAGGTAAAATGGTTTAGATCAAAGGCCACAGGTTATCAACCAGCGAATTATTTCAGGTTGTGGAAGTTCGCACGAATCAGCACTCTCAAGCAAAGTGGGGGCTGCGGAATAACTTCGCTAAAGCTGCCCACAATTCAATGCTAACCTAGTTCAAACACTATCCAAGAATCGCTGCAGAATTGCTAGCGCAACTATCTCTTGCCTTATGCTAGAGAAAGACAAGTCCTTGACCGGCAGACTCGTCTGTCAGATTGAGCTACCGTCGTGCTCCAATCCTCCCCATAGCCTACATGTGCACATGCCACAGTTGGGATGTTTGCCGAGTCAGCGGCAAGTGCCCTGATAGTGGAACAGATGAGAACGGGGCAGGGGCAAGTCAGACTTAGACTGGGGCCTGAGTCAGGAACAGACAGTGCGAGTCAGTGTTCAGAGTTTGGGTTTATGGTTTACGTTCAAGGTTTTTGGGTTTAGGTTTGTTGTTGCCCTCCCCCCCTTTGTGTTCCTGACGCCCCCACAGTCTTTCTGACCAACCCTCCTGCCTTCCCTGACTCGCCCTCTTCTTGTTCCCGATTTGTGCGCCTGACTCGCCTCTCATCCACCACAGCTGTGGCGTTGTTTTGCGCACAAAAGCAGCATCCGACACCCAACGACTCAGCTGTGGCATATGAGATGTCTGATGACGCCCAAGAACATTCACACGTGGCAGGTAGACATTGCAAACGCCTCGAGCAGCCTTGAGGAGGCAAGGCGCATGTCGACCTAATACAGATTTTCGACCACGCTCAGCTTGAAGATATCAGATCGCACACTCAAGCTGTAGGTCTTGGCTCAGAAACTTCTGCATGCCATGGAGATCAGTGGAAGGCTCTTCGACATTTTTTTTGCATCATCACGTTGCCGTAGGGGGGGTAAAGCGCTTTTTGTAGCTACGGGCCCCATTGAAACGCCCGAAACAGCTATCTTCCGCAAACACCTCCTGAGTTTTCCCAAGCCCAGTAGGCCACTAGGCTCCCTGGACCAAACGGAATCACACTTTATCGGGCCTGCTGGCAGGCAGCGGTGGCTCAGGCAGTCCCTTGGCTGTTCGGGGAAAGTTCAAAAGGGTGCCAACCAAGTTCGCACAATAGATTCCTTAGCGATCTCTGTGCTCAAGTCAAATACTCCTTGCACCGTATTCTTCATTTTTGGTGGCAGTTGGAAGGCTTATCGTCTGCATAGGTATAGAAATAGTGAAGACACATATGCCAGACCCTAGAGCAAGGACCCGGGCAAGTTGCAACAACGCAAGAAGCCGACATAGACCAAACAGGCATGAACAAGTTGAGGAAACTCCCGATCAATCTGGAATTGAGCTGTCATTATGAGCTACAGGTGAATATTGGATGTTTACTGTCAAATGGGGGCATGGAAGCAGTTTCTTCCAGGCTCAGTGCATAGACCATGCGGGCAGGACTTCCGAGGCTTCAGGCGTGTTCAAGGCAACCCAAGACGCGGGATTGGACTCGGGCTTTTGATTCCCAGAGGGCCTTGCAACACCCGAAAAAAGACGTGCCCATGTCGTTCGAGGCGCAGAACGTACGCCACGCTGAGACGCAGTGCCTGGGTTGCAGCATGCTTGAGGATTTTGTTCAAAAGCATACACAGCACCGCATTTTTGGAGCAGTTGAAGGTCCAGATACTTCTTTTGCCGCACAGCTTTCAACATAGCCTGACCATCTTAAAAGGCTCCCAGACTGTGGTCCTTATTCCTGTCAGTGTCAGCACAACAAGTTCCACACGCCCTAGCGAAGTAGATCTCCAGCTGGGCCACGGCAGTCCAAGCGGGACCTGCAGGATCTGGAACCTTGCAAGAGAGTTTGATGACAGCCCGGCAGCCACGGGCGTGCTGAACGGAACGCACCACAGGACGGAGCGGGGAAGAGTATGTGGGAGATTTTGGTTTTGGCTTTCAAGACAGTTCAGTCTTGGGCTACAGCTTAAGATGCTACCTATAGGTGTAACGAGTCATGAGGATCATGATGCTACAATGGTATATGCCAGTTTAGCAGGGTTCATGATAGTTGTTTTGAGTTTGTCTTAGGAGCAGTTCCTGAGTGCCGCAATGGCCTAGAATTGTGGCAGCATTGCACATACAGGCAATCCCTCCTCAAGGCCAGTCCCCCAGCCTCAGGCAGATCTGGAACGCCTGCGTGTGGCACGCTAGCCTCGGTTTCGACTCAAGGTCTCGTAGGATGTTGCCGCTGGCTGGCTCCTAACCTGGAATTCGCAGTCATATGCTGCCATTCCCAACCCTTGTTAATAGGTCGCTTCCGGAACCTATGCACATTGCATAGCTAAAGCAGCCGTGCATACGCTCTAGAACAAACGTGCAGCAAGTGAGCCGCCAAAGGCAAATGCTGCATTTGTCGCTTCGAGGTATGACTCTGTAGGTCGCAGGAGTCCATCACAAGGGCATCAGTTATGCTGCCCTTACCACTAGTGGGTGCAGACGGCAACGCCAGGACCCTCCAAGAGGAGCCTCCTGTTCCAGCGACACTGCGTGCAGTCTACCAGCTGCTCGCATTTAGTCGGTAGCTGCAGCAACAGCAGCGAGAAGTGGTCGACATGATGCAGCGTTTGTAGTAGTCACGCCGCCGGGCGTGCGGGCGGTGAGGGTGCTGGTGTCGGTATGGGTGTGGGTGTGACGACTGTGGTGGTGATGGCGGCAGCGGCGGCGGCGTCGTCGGTGGTATCATTGTGAGCGCTGCCAGCAAAGGAATTTCTTGCATGATACTGAGGTTATGTGGATCAGGATTTCTCATTCGGTGCAAACGGAAATGTTTTCATCGTATGTATCATGCTAGCATGCATTATCATAAATCCTGACCAGATGTGCTCATACATTTTTGGCTGATTTGATGGTTCAGAAGTAGTAAGTGATATTGGCTTGAGGCCAGTAAGCCATTGCCCAGGCTGTGCCCTGGCTGGGAGCGTGCAAGTCCTGAAGAGTTGGCGGAGGAGGCCCTGATGTTCTCGTGATTTTGAAGATGAAAAGCTCATCAATCGCGTGTTTTTGGCTGGGGGTTGTGGATGACTTCGGCGCCTTGTTGGGTTTGGAGCAGCCTGACGTGTAGAATTCTTGCTTGCTTCAAGACGTCAGCCCAGGCTAGGATTCCAGATTTCGCGCATTGAGACTCAGCGCTGGCAATTGTCGGTATGGCAGAAATCGCCACCAGTACCTTAGAGCTTCCAACTCCCGACATGAAACAGAACAAACGTAACAGCGTGCCTGTTCACCACGGTGACAACGCTAGCTAGTGCCTTGTCGTTCTCTTTGGATTGTGGGCGCACATGATGGCACCCATGCAGATGTACATTTCCTTTGTTCGACCGTGTATGCGGGCAACTTGTCCTCTGGGAAACCTTATCGCAGCAGGCAAGGACTACAATCATAGCTTCAGACTCTTGCAAGAGCTGATGACACAAGCTATGACATCTGGTCAAGATCTTTTAGCAGGTATGCCCTTCACGATTTGGTGCTACGCGCGCATAGCCCTAGACCAGCATGTACACATTTAGGAGGATGGCTACTGTTTTAGCAGGCTTCAAGCCCGCTGCACTAATTTGAGCTGTACTTGGCAGTTCTCACGACGCTACCCACCTGAAATGGCCAGCAAGTCCAGGGTACAAAGCTAGAGATGCATTCGCACCGTGCCTCACACATTGGGTTTATCCAGGGATCTAGGCCAATATCAGTCATGGAACACGCTGGAAGGTACTGCGGAAGGCGAGTCAGAGCTCTCCCTCGGAAGCCCTTCGCGCCTGGGTGGCACTGGATTGTGGTTTGCGTGCGAGTGAGCTCGTGCCTTGCCAAGGGCTTTGGCTCAGAATCTGAAATCCTCAAAACAGGCAGCGATGTGGAGAAGCAGTTGGAGACTGATTATGCTTCATGCTTATTTAGCTAAGCACGACAGTAGGGATAATTTGACCCGAAATGAAAACTACTATGTGGGTGATTTTTTTTATGTATGCAAAGGCTTCTACGGGGTTTCATGGGGACATGATGCATGAGGAGCTTCAAGCACGACAGGGTCCCAGACTAATCTACGTAACAAGCGCTCTTTTGGCTCATCTCCGCATTAAGACGTCTCCAAAGAACTGTATCCGTACAAGATCTGGTTCAGGCCTTGGCGGCGCCTGCAGCACTCAGTACTCAATCTTCTGGCCTTAGAGATTCGTGATCCGTGAGCTGATTTCAGGAGCATAAGAACTGAAGAGTCTACAAACTAGTGCAACCGGCCATCACCCAGCCGTGTTCGGGCTCTACTCCAGCCCTAAGAAACCTGCACCACGCAGATTCAACAAGCAAGCAGCCAAGATCACAAGAGCAGCTGATCTTGAGGGCATATGCAAATACAACCTTCTGACCTGAAGCCCCGAGACCTTGGTGACTGGTTTTCACAGCCATAGATCTCCATAGCCCATTGCATCCAAAGCCATCATCTGTTATCAAACTTCTCTTCTAAGGACTGATGCGGTGTGTGGCCGGCGTTTCAGAGCTGAATTCTGCCGGCGCAACGCCTTCCAAGCTGGCGTTGAGGTGCCAGCATTTTATTTGGGATGTGGTCTGGCAACTAGGGTCACAAACCTCGAAATTCAGAGATCAAGAATCGTTACCCCTGAGCCTGTAACTGACGCGCTGTCCTCATGTCTCAGACTGCCTTGCACTTCTTGTAAACTTCCAGCATATTACCAACCCGACCCACGCACGTTTTTTGTGAACTTGAGCCCGCCTCCCTTCCAAGGGCATCGTTGGCAGCCTTCTCAGCAGGTCAGCCTGTGCAGGACAACGGCTTTGCAGAAATCCAGAAACAGTTTTGATACCCGCGACTACTACGATTGCCATTTTTGTAGCTGTGGATGGTACTTCTGTGGCACAGCATCATCAGTGTTCCTTGTACTGCTTAGACCAAGGCTAAAGTCAATGATTTATTCAATCGGGGCTTCAAAATGAGTAGGGGTTGCGATGGCAGAGAGTTGCAACATGCCATTTTTAATTGCCCCTGTTCTAGGCGGTATCTGCAACCTGTTTGTCCTGTAATAGGATGGGTTGTCAGGAAGACTGTTTACTCAAAGCTCACCTCTTGATGGGGTCTGAACACTTCGCCTTGGGGCTGGACACTTTGTAATGGGTCCTTGGGGTTCATGTGAATGCATGTCCTAATTCTGGCTGGTGTTTGAGGGAATCCGCCACTTCATCCAGTCATTTTCATGTATCGACCCTAAGGATGGGTTGTTTATCCGAGAAGGGTGTGGAAACGGGCGTCATGGGGCACCGAGGGCGAATGTGGTCTTGAGCGAAATAGACAAAACAAAGGTAGACGACCTGATTCATCAATCAGCTGATGCCCAAAGAAAAGGTAAACGTTCTCTAGCACTATGGGACTCGACATGAGAAGCAGGAGATTGCCGTCTTCCTCGTTTGGCTGTCGGCGGCTGATGCGGTGCCTTGTCACCCGAGGAGGGCGGCCTCTGCTCGAAGCCTAAAGCTTTAAACCCAACTCTTGCAGATCAAAGCTGCTGGGGAGCGAATCAAACCAAGTCCGGACCTTGAAAACTGACAGCAGGGCCCTGAATCATCTTGGCTACGGAAAATAACGCCTTGCAGCTTCCTTCACGGTGCGTTGTGACTGACGATGGGACACACAAAAGTGTGCACGTACTGCAGATTTTGTCAATCTTCACGATGGACACCTCCCAAACGTTTTGTGCTCTGAAACCCATAGCTCCAACAGAGCCACCCTGTACTGTGAGCAGCCGGAATCGTGAGTATTCGCCGTTCGCCTTTCAACATTACGCACCTCAAGCCGAAAACTTTGGAACGGCATCGCCAGGCAGTTCTCAAGAGCTTCAGGGTTCCTTCCCGGATGAGTAGCTGTAGGTGACCGCGAGACAAAGGGGTTTCCCAAGTCAGTGAACTGTCTCAGGTGAGGCTGATGGAGTTTACCATTGAGGATCAAAGTGCCACCGGGAGCCGTCATTTGGAGGTTTGCTGCGCAGGGCAAGGGGAGGTTGTAGGCCAGTCAGATGGAGTCTCGTGTGGGGTGGAGAGGTCCATAGAGATATTGTCTACATGCATGGCAGGTCATTGCGCATCTCCGAACTCAGAGCACGCTCTCCGGGTCCGATGCATCCCAGCTGGAGGAGGTCCTGCGGCAGGCGAATCGGGTGTCGTCTGGTTAGGCCACAGAAATTACTGCAGTTTAAGGTTTCATGATTGCAAAGGTTTGCAGATTTCAATTTGTGTTGGTGTCTTAAGACGAATCCTATACAAAGCCATTTCACGAGCGAGTCCTGCAGCGGTGAGTTGGACTCACCGCTGGTTTGAGAGTGAGAGGCTGAAGCGCTGATCTTGCTGCGGACCCTGGTGGAGGGGAGCGATGGGGAGGAGTGCAGAAGCGGGGTCGCTTCTTAATTCCTTTGCAAAAAGTTGTCTAGCAGAGATGTGTAAAGGACTTCCCTTGAGCACCTGACTCATGGCGCATGACAGTGATTCAGGCTTTGACTCCTAATTGTCATTTACGGTTTTGGGATAACGCCATGGTCTGGAGTGTGTAGGGTTTACTGCTGGCAGTGCGCAGGATCACCGTCCCGCCACGGCCTAGCAGAGTGAGGGTAGAAATGCCCAGTGCATGTGCAAAAGGGTCCTACTGCCATCTCGAAACAGCGAAAGCTTGATGATAACCTCCACCAGATATGAGTGAGCTCCCAGGCGGTAAGTGCACCGCCAACATGTTGAGCTCTAACCCGCAAGTCCCAAAATCCGATACCCTTCAAACACCCGGACGCAAGCCGCATGCGCATACAGGAGCACTTCCCAATGCGGCTGCTTCCCGGGATCCTTGGTCAGCTGAGCAGGGCCTTGTAATTGGGTTCCTTCGACGGGTATAGGTTGAGACGCTGTATGCATCGTGCAGGCATTGCATCCTTCTGTGGATTTGAATGGCGCATGCTGGCAGAAGCCCATACTGACAAGTGTTTCTGGGCCCAATGTGACCTGTCCAGGGCAAGGCCTTACAGTAAATCCTGCGGTGCTATGGGTTCAATAGTCGGTGCTTCCACGATATTACTACTTCCAGGGCTTTCTCTAAGGTGCCATGGATGTAAGCGCATGCCCCTAGCTTCAATAGGGGGCATTTCTCTTTCTGGCTGTTCTTGATGCCAACACCCTGAAGCTGCTGTCAGCTTCCACAGCATCTTTGTGTGGGAATTGTTCTTTGCCAGAATTCCCATGTACTTTCTTTAGTATATCCCTGCAATCTATGTTGAGAATGCCCTGTACTCCAGATTTCTGTCTTGTATTCCCAAATCCCTGAACCCAGGTGCCGCCTCGGGGAAGCTGTCGCAGCCTGGCGCCAGCAGCTGGCGGTGCTGCCGCCTTCTGTGCGTGAGGCAAGCATCGCGCAGGGAAATTTGCAGGATTGTCAGGATTCTTGGGATGATGCTTGGGGTTTTTGTTATGTTGGAGCCTGATTAACGTCGTAGACCCCCGAAACAAAAACAGATCCTTTGAACCGGTGGGTGGATCGCCCGCAAAGAAACCCAGATCGTAGGTGCATTTTTGATTCACTAGGAGGGTGGTGGATGCCCGGAACAGTCCAGAAAGCTAGGATAGATTAGCCCTCATCAGTTTTGAACCTGGTCTGAGATTTGAAATCCAAACTACTACTCTTTGTTTCTGAGCAATAAGTCTTGACATCCGAGCCTGAAGCAGGTGTACCCTCGTCAACCTTCCCGTAACCTCAGGTTTAAACCCATAATATGGAGATGTACCCTAAATCCCTGAATGCTGAACCCAGCAGATTCCATTCATTTCCATTGTTGATAACTTCGAAATCAAGAGCCAGCTAAGAACAGGCTCGTGAGACATGCTGCTATGCATTACACTCTGTACCCTGGCCTTCGAGGCTGCACAGGCACTGCTCGACACCGGCTTCGATTCAGGCGAGGAAAAGGGGAATTTCTGTTTGGGCTTCCAAGTGTAACCCCTTGTAGAAAAGATTCGCTTACCTCGTGTTCCAAAAACGTCTTCGCATGTCTGGAGATACATTAAGTTTGTGACTTTCAGGATTCTGTGAAGCTGGGTCAGCCGCACAACCACATTCTCTGTTCGTCGCAATGCTCAAACCCTGGAGATCCTTGCAAGGCTGCATTTGCATCGGTTGCAAATTCCTGGGCTTTTTCTCGGGTGGGGTGCTATCTGTCTGGGACCCTGAGATCTCATAGCGTGCCAAACCTGATAGCAGAAAGTCATGGAACCTAAGTGATGTCAGGTCCACAAGGTATGCGGCGCACAGTCAAGTCTACTGCTACAGCGAGACCCCTGCAGTCTGAATAGCGTTAGACCACTCAACTTTGACCCTGAAAGCCTCCTCTTTCTTGGATTCGTCATGCCTTTTCAACGTATGAGCTCCTCAGGACCACCAAGATACCAGAGGGTCTGGGTAAAGCGCATACCTAACCTACGAGCTGCAAGCTTGCAACCTAAGGTGCCCCGCAGACCCTGCTAAAGCAGACCCCAAAGCAAAAGTGCTAGCACCACATTGCATGAATGCACGCCTGTCCAGGTTGACAGTCTGCTGAAGATGTTCAAAAATCGCTCTCTGCATTGACCTGTTCTGTGGGCATGTGCAGCTTGTGCCTGTTGACAATGTTTATACCCGACATCTTCATCGTATGTGAGACGCAAGTTATGATCATGCCCAAGGCGGATTATGTTTCCTTGCAGCGCAGTATTGAATCATCGACAGGCCCACCTTGACACGCTAGGTGATTGGAGTTGAGGTCGTGCAGATTTCTATAAGTATGTTTGAGTGGTCGCTGTCACAAATCATAGTCTGTTTTTGGAATTGTTTGGGTGCCTCAAATATCCCGAGTGTCTCTGACACATGCAAGTCATGGTCGACATTGTATCTGTGTCTGTTTTTCTGCTGATCTTGGCTCTTCAGGTCAGCATAGTGTTCCTACACCAATTTTTAAGGTTAGGCGATCGCTGGCATGGCAAGCCCGCCATGGCTGGTGTTGACCCTAGCCTTGCTTTGGCCATCCCTGGCAGAACCAGGTCTTTTAGGGGCCGAAGAGCCCTGTAAGGGCCAAGGCTGTGCCTTTACGGAGGCCAGCTGGGAAGATGGGGGGTTGGGCCTGCTCCAGCGGGCCATGGGAGCCAGAGCTCAGCAAGTCCAAGAGGCCCAGCGGCTGGTGCCCACTCTACCTCCCGGCCAGGATGTTTGTCACGCGGGGCCACCAATGACATTGACAAAGGCTGATCAGGATTTCCTGGAGGGCCGAAGAAAGCCTAAGTGCGATTGGCAGACTGCAGGCATCTTCTGCTTGAACTGGGACAAGATTTTTTGCTGGTGGTTGCCTCTTGGTGACAACTCTCATGGCTGGTTCGTTCTTGTGCTGCTTGCCATTCTCTTGTTGATTGCCGGCCGCTGCTCTCCGAATCCGGAATCCTGGACAAAAGAGACCGCTACTGGAGAAACTCCTCGTCAGATACATTTCTGGTGCCACGATCTCCCTCCGCACTTCTCGATTTACATTTCCATGGCAGGTGCTACAATGTGGCTGGCGAGTGCGGAGGACCACCCAACCTACAACTTCAAGGAATCCCCGGCTTTGCCCATTCACATGGTGCCCTGGTGGCTTCTCTTCCTTCCATCTGCCTCTGGGATCCAAAAGAATAGAAATATTTCTTGCTAATTTAGCCTAGTGCAGACGCTTTCTTTCTGCTTGCTGAAAACGGGCCCAGGTTTGGTGCATGTTGATCACGGGCAGCCTTCCTACTACCAGGGCCAGATCGGTTTGGCACATAGCATCCATCCTTACATTTCTGCCAGTGGTTCTTGCGCCCCTCAGTTTTCCATCAGAAGAGCTTTGAACGTGTGTGCGCTGAAATCCTGACTGCACTGAACCAGCACTGCTAGAATGTTAAACATAACCAATACTTGCTGAAGTGAGGTTTATCCTTTGTGCGAGGACTTTTTGCTTGGACTTTCATGAGCATCTGGGCTGCAGAAGCATAGTTTTGAGCAGATGCCCAAGGTGAAAATGAAGCAAAACATCTGGTACACGTGAGCCCCTTAGCAGTCCCCACGCATAACCATAACCAGAATGGTTAGAGTCGCGTAGCACAAGAGGAGGCGGGGGGATGAGTGCTCCTGGTAGCAGTGGCAATGATGCCGGTTCCAGCACGTAAAGCATCAGTTCAGACTTCAACATCCAAAACAAAGGATTATTGCAACGCAGTCTACTATAAAGCTTCTCGCAATTTCTCTCTCTCTCTCTTCCCCTCTGTCTGTACCTTCACTTCAGCACGCTTACCAAACCAATGTGAATACCGTTCAAACATTCAACTAGGGGTGGACATGGGCACCAGAACCTTCCCGTCGCGTGGGCCTTTGGTGGAATGGCAGTGGCTCTGGTGGCCTTGCTAGTCGCACCCGAGGCAAGGGTTTAGCAATCCCCAGAATGGATTCTCCTGGGCTCAGAAGGAATTAGTTTGTTTCATTAGAGGTTGGGAGTTTTCGACGCTCCCCAGACGGCTCATCAGGACCGGAATTGCGAAAAGAACCCCCGCAGCCACACCACAAAACCCACTGGCCCAACTGATACTCTAATGCCTCATAGTCCACTCCGTCTCCGCATCCCTAGATGAGTAGCAGCCAGGTGAACGTTTCCTCGTGGCTTCGCAAGTTTGCCCTGTCCCTTTGCAACGAAGACCTCCAGGGATGCCAGGTCAAATGGGCCGTTGGGATTCTTTTGGATGCTTGTTGAGATTCAATAGGGTTCCAAGATGCGATTCCCAGGGATGTGGGGATTTTAGGGGGGCTTTAGAATGCACATAAACGTCTATCCTGATTAGGGTTGGCTACTTCCATTGGCAGCTTGGGGCTTCGGGTGCGGTTTCTACGGCCTTAGACGGTCTTCCGGAGTTTGGGTCGTCGGACGGGCTCTGTACTTTGCGCCTTGGGTTCCTTCTAACGTTTCTGGCGACTTTAGACCGCATTCAACTTTGAGATATTTTTTGGGTGTGAGAAGTTGTACAGACATGAATCAAATAATAGTAGCGTTTGGCTAGATTTGTGCGATCCCTCAACCACCTCCCAGGCCTAAGCTCTAAGCAGCAAGCCCCACCCTCAACGCTAGGACCCCAACCCTCAGTCCCAGAACCTCCCTCTCAGGCCCAAAGCTTTGTAATTACTTGGAAGGGTGCGGCTTCATCAAGACAGTTTCTGTCAGTAAGCCAGCCTGAGCTTGCAAACCACTGTCAAAGCAATGTAAAGGTCTCACTTACTTCCTCTAAAGTCATCTTCTAGCCTCCATGAAGCCCTACGCAACTCCTCTACAAAATCTTATATAGTCCCTTTACATAATCCTATAGAACTTATAGAACCACTCTTACGCGAGCCAAACCTCCCTAGACCCTAACCCCTAGATGACCAAACCCTACATCCCAAACCCCCAAAAGAAGCCAAGCCTGAGGCTAATATGCAGCGTGTTTTACATTGCGGGGGGCGTCTCAAAGGTCATGAACAATCGGCCCTTCCTTAGTTGGCTCAATGGAGACTCGGCTGCTTCTGAAATGGTAACTGTTATGTGTAGGTGGTGGAACAGGAGGGAATGGCAGGATAACCTTTTTCAACTTGATCTCATCAAATTGACGGCGCATGGTCTAAACAGAAGTACGTCCATCTCTAAGCACATCCCGACAGCAGGCCCATCCACTGACCCGCACTAGAATGCCCTGGACATTCTGATGTGCTTTGCGGTCGTCATAATCTTACAGAGCTCGCAGATCGCGCACATGCCTGCCAGAGTGGTGCTGTTCCATAATTCGAAGCTCTCGAGATGATTCAGATGAGTTTAACCCCCATGAGGACTCTACACCTGCTCCTCTGGAAGAACGCGGCCTTGAAATTACAATTCTTTTGCATAGGCATAGGCTAGCGTGCTGGTATTCTACATCTGCATGAGGCCCGCCTTTGATTGCACGTTCTCAAGGAACTCCAACCACTTCATTCTGCATGCCTTACCGTTCTGTCAATTGCTATAGAGATGAGGGTGCCGGCTGCAACTCTAGCTTTGGGAGAGTCGCGGGCATCTATTGGACATCCTGACAAGTGGGTTTCTCCTGCCAATGCTCCCAATCAAGCAGCCCTTCATTAAGAGCTGCTCCAACAGCATATGGAATCAGCAGATGCTTCGGGGGATGCATGGTTCTCGTGTGCTACAGCTTCAAAACAAGCTGGGTGTCACGGCGCGGCGGCGAACCAGGTATCTGTTTGTCCGTGTTGGAACTCAGGCGTCTTGGATGGCTTGCGCGACACAAGACCTGCCGTTGTTGCTGTCCATTTGATTGTCATCCGAAATATTATGCTAAACGTAGCGTACTACCTATGCTTCACTGACAGGAAACCTGCAGTCGTGCACACCGGACCCATAATGATGCCAGGCCTGTTGTAAACGGCGCGAGTTATATTAGTGAGAGTCAGCAGTCAGGCAATCAGGCATGCCATACCGCAAAACATGGCGTGAATGCAAAAGTCGCCTATGCAAGCAAAGTGTCACGACGCTGCAGAACCGAGGAAAGGCCCTTCAGAAGTGGACGTATTGAATCTTGATTGAATTGTTGATGCTTAGGACCTTCATTGCTTTTTTTTTTTCTTTGCCATGTGCCGTCAAGACATGTCAAGACGGTCCGCAGGCATAACTACATATCCGTGCATGTCCGTAGAGCCAACACAAGGCCTCGCAAACTACAACAACTTCAGAGGCGTGCCGTACCCGTGGCTTTCAAGGCATGTGGCCACAGATGACGCGTCTCGTCATAGATTCAGTTTGCCTCACATTTCCAGTGGAAACCGCTGAGGCACTCATGGTCTGAACAGGTAGCCGTTAAGACACAAGACGCTCAAGGTCATGACCCTGTATCCGACGCTTCGAAGCCCAGAAAACCTTAGAGCTCTGAGACGACGTATTCCCCCAGCAGTCTCGCACTACACATCCACCGGGCGCCTGCAGCACAATGCCTGGACCTGTCCCTACAATCTGAAATGAACAAAGACTGATTGGGCGCTCAGCTCGATGAAGAAGCCTGCAATTTATTTCCGAGGGGTCCGGAAATATGTAGGCCCAAAGCTTGGCCCAGATGATCCACGTGCCCGGTCATAGTTGCCACATAGACCCAAGCTTGCAAGGGTTGGGCGCAGCTTTTCAGCGTTGCAAACCTCTTGCTAGAGCTGCCGCTGTGCTTTGCCGTGCCTGGGTTGCAAAGTCACCAAGCTACCGTAGCATGTGTCGGTGCCCATGAGTGGCTGTTCTTCGCACGGCCTCCTTAGGAAGGAACAGTCTATACAAGGGTGCAGAGCTCGAGGTGTTAACGTACAGAGGACCAAGGGTTCAGATACTTTCCCAGGATTCTGCACGCAACATGCAGTTTGAGAAAACCATCTACAGCTGTTGCCGAGAATTCGTGGCATCCTCAGAACAAGCCCCGAAGCATATCCCCAGGATCTCTGAGAGATTCTTTGGTAGTGCTTCGGGTCGCCATCGTTTTTTCATGGTAATTAATGCTCATGTTTGAATCCCACTGCTAACAGCAAGTGAGCTTTCAAGTGAGCCCGGAAGAGGCGCTGATGGGAACCGGCGAATTCGGCAAGATGGGCCCTGTACGGACAGACTGCAGTCTTGGAGTTTTGTAGGAGTCGCATTCAAGGTGGTGTGTGTGATAGGTCTAGGAGGAAGCGTTGGTGATGGTACTTGTAGAAATTCCTTGGGTAGCAGTACAGGCAGCAACAGCCTCGGCAGCAGCAGCAGCGGCAGCAATCATCATAATTTGGGCGAGCCCTCAAGATATTCCCGAATCGTAGGTCCTGGGGAGCGGACCCTGGTAGCCTTGTGTGGGGGACAGAAAGGCCCTGAAAGAAAGCGTTTTTGTTGTAGCCAGAGGTCAGGGTTTTGTAGGTAAGTAGTCCTGTTCGTATGTTGCAACGGGTGAACAAAGTGCCCCTACCCTTGGTACAGTTCTTGGGTGTTTGTTGGTGGTAGTAGTGGCTGACTGAAAATTTCACCGAGTTGACAATAAGCGATTTTAGCTCGTGCGGTGACTCAGAACTATCTCTGCTTGTCACATCATTAGGAGGTGACGTCAAACGTGCGCCCGACATGCTATCTTCCAACGTCTCTGAGAATCCGATTGACTGACAGGATCCTTTGGTGCTTGGCTGGCTGTTGCTTCCACTTCGGCGTGAACTTGATCTGGGGGTGTATCCAGGCTAGCGCGTACAACAACGAGGCCTTTGTGATCATGTTGCTGGTGGTGGCTTGTCTGTGTATTCTGCAAGAGGGTGGGACCGGGCATCTTCAATCGGGTTCTGTTTGAGTACTGAAGTCTTCCGAAGGTGCCCTCGAAGCAACCAAGGTTGATCTTCCTGGCATGTGGGCTTCCTTAGCCAGGCCCAAGAACTTTGCGCCGGACATGAAGGTTGTTGCACAGCCGGCTTCTGATGCTTCGAAGCTGATTCAGCTTGCCCTCTCACTCGGCAGCTCCGTCGTTCTGTTCGTCTGGTTGGTCACTGCCGTGCTCTACCACTTCGATGACCCTCATTGGCCAACCACATCAGTTCCCATGTTCTCCATGCTTTGCGCCGCTGGGGGAGACTGCGATGAAAGCTTCCGCAGCGGAACCTATACAGTTTCCCGAGCTGCATGGAGATATGTATGCCTGGTCAAGATCCCAAACCAAACAGTCACGATTGAAACCTAAAAGCTCAAAAGCTACTCTAGTGTTTTAGGGTTTTAGAGGATCCCTTGAGGGTCTGAGAACCAGGTGTCATGGCCCACGGGAGTCCTGATGAGCCTTGCTGGCACAGCAATCGTACTGCTGCGGCCAACATCCGCCAAATCCTAGACGAGCAGAAGCTGTCGTAAGAGCAATAGGCTGAGTATTCCAAGTTCTCAGCAGTTGTAACGGTTAACGGGTGTCTTCTTGTGGATGTTTAGGGATACCGTGTAGCATGCACAGCATTCCTACTTGTAGCAATAAAGACCGATTCTCAGATTGATTGACGGATGCTCGACAGCTTGCTGCAGCTTGCTAAATGTTTCACAGGCCCGTAGGGATGGCATCCCAGAGGGGTCATATTTTGATGCAAGGCATCTGCAAGAACGCCCGTTCAGATTCCTGATGCAAAATTTCGTAGTGGCCGTGGCGCAGTAAATCTCGAACTAGTGCCTGACGAGAAAGCCACAGCATTTCAATCTCTAGGGTATTGTCGGGCACCCCTTTGAGGCCCAGAGCTAGGTTAGGCGATTGCTGGCAAGGCTTGGGCCATAGCTGGTGCCAAAAGGCTTGCTTTGGGCGAACAAGTTCCGGAGAGGGCAGCAGTTATTCGGTACTCGGAGCGCTATGCGGCAATGCTCTCACAGCATCCAGGAGGCTCTGACAACGAAAATGCTGCCTTTCTCCGTGTCTTTAGCATGCGTATGCGCTGAGGTGCCTAAGTGGCCTAGACCCGAATTCTGAGAGCGCAAGGATCATTCACCAAATCGTGTTGATGGCAAGATTTGTACAAATCTGTTTGCTGGTAGAACCTCCGATGAGCCGGCCATGCCATTGTGTTCGAAAAGAGATTCCCAGGGAAATTGATCGCAAGTGACGTACTATTGAGAACTGACCACTCATTTCAACGGGTCGGGGTAGTCTTGGCATCGAAATTATCGCTCGCCCACGTACCCTCTTGTCTGAATATGGCTTCGAGCCTAACCCAGCTGGCAATGGCGGCTTCAGTTGCAAGACCCGTGAGCTAAAAAGACTGGAGGGGAGGATGGGCAGCTCCAAAAACACATGATCATGCTATTTTGGCATGCTGTTGCAGCAGTGACTATCGTGATCAGCACGATATTGGCATGTATGTTGGTGAATGACGCAAACGGCTTAGAAATCCTTCTGCCTTTCAACTGCATGTGTTATTCTCGCAAGTGGTATTGCTATATCCATTCCATGTGTATCTTATTTGGTTACAGGCATACACAGTGCAAGGCCTTCAACAGCAAACCATGACTATGTCAGGGCTGAATGAAATGTTCTGACGCCCAGGAAGTGCCACACTTTCAGAACCATGCCTCGCGATCGTCTCGTTGCCTGCTTCATGAGCTATGATTGTATGCTATTGTTGTATAGTCGCCAGAGCCGTTCTTTCTTGTGCAGGCCTACCGAAGCTTATCAAAAAGGTCTAGTTGTATCCACACTTGGGAGAGATTGAAAGCCATAACTCAGCCTCAAAAGCATCCGCCAGGTACGATTGAGTTCAAGGGAATCTGGAGGCCTTCTATGCGGTGGTTGGGGCAGCTTTAGAGTTGCGGCAATGTAGCCACAGGTCTCAAAGCCCCCCGAGCATAGAAGCCATCTACAGGTGGGTAGCTGTGAGGCGTGAGGTGGCTTGTTTCCAGGATGCTGTCGCAAGGAAATCCGTAAGCCATTACCCTGCAGCTTATGAGTCTAAGAGAGCAATGGGAGAATGGGAGACTTCTGTGGCTTTCTTTGTTGAGCATGCTTATGACGCATGGCTTGAGGACATCTTGTGCAAGGCTGCAGTACTGAGAGCAAGGATCTCGCGATTCTCTAGCGCTGAACACGCATGAAGGCTGTTTTCTTTCAACCTGACATGTTGACCCAACTCTGACTGGATGACCTCTCCGGCTGCTACAGTCTAGATTGTGACATGGAGGTGCTGTAAGATGCACCGCGCCCATCACTCATAGGAAGGATTGCCGGGGCAGTCAGGCAAGGTGGAACATCCTTGATGATGCAGTCGATACACAGATCTTCTAGCCTTGCTTGGGCAAAACCATCGAACAAGAAGCAAGCAGACCCCAGGTTTTTTGTTCATTGAGCGTTTATGCATGCGCGCTCAGGAAAACGACATGCCGAGGGAAGCTCAAGACAGTTTTGGGCAGAGTCATTGCGGTGCTCAGGAACTAAGGGCAAGACTTCAACTAAGGCTTTGACACTAAGGAACAGGAATCGCACACTCAGGACATACTAAGGAGCTGCAGGTACAACAGGAGAAAAGCCGAGGGGACGAACTAAGGAACTGCAACTAAGGCAACTAAGGAGCACTCAGGCACCCAAAGCTAAGGCAATCTACCAGGTGTTTCCAAGCATCGGCTGGCCGGATATGAGCGGGTACCTGCTCCTATCATTGCTACTTCTCAGCCTTATGCATATCCGGCACACCCGATTCTTGGAAATGCTGACTAAGGTGTGTTCAGGCACCAAAGCGGGCGACACTTCAGGTACCCAAGACAACTAAGGCAACTAAGGTCTTCTCAGGTACCGAAATCAGGAAGTTCAGATTGCCTGAGGAAGGAAGTGAGCCATAAGAAAAACCGACAATATTCATCAATGTTCAACATTCCATTTCCTAACATTTGCCTCCGGTCTTGCATGTCTAAGGTTTTGCTTATGGCTCAACTAAGGAACCAACAGGTACAATGGAGTTCAGGTACAGACAGAAGATGACAGGCAGCCATTGGAGGGGGAGGTACCGGCTCAGGAACCGCAGGTATGGGACACTAAGGTATGCGGCCGCTAAGGTACTGTAGGTGGCCTGATTCCTAACGTGAGTGGAAAGGGTGGGCATGTGCCGCACGCCAGCCTAGTTGTAGTTGCAAAACTGGGAAAGATGTCCGAGAAACACGACGGGGGGAGGCTTTGTCTGATGTGCGGCAACTCCTGACCCTTGAGTCTAAACCCGCAGTGAGGAATCTCCATGGTAACCGTGTTTGCCTCAGGTACGTGCAGATTGTTTCTCAAACAACGCTAGTGGTCCTAGGTCGTCATTATCCCTCTGTACTGACAGGTGCAGGTTGCTGTGTCGCTCTGTCGAGGTGTTGCTGGAAATGGTCAACAATGGGGAGATTGAGGAACCCTCGTGCTCAGCTCCTGCATCAAACCGCTGGTTGCGAGGTTGTGGCAGGTTGCGAGCTTGTGGCTAGAGGGATGCACTGAGGATTTTCACTTTCTTTGGGAAGTGTCGGGGTTTTTGAGACTTCTTCGCGGAGCATGGGAATTTTTGGGCTGCATGTTAGAACAGTTGGCCTTCTTTCAGGATGACCCCTCAAGCATGTGTCTCGATTCAATCAATCCTCCCTGGTGGATAGGCAAATAGGCATGCAGTTGGCTTGGGGCTGAGAGGTTCTGTGGCTCAGAAGCCTATTTACTCTAAGGCCAGCTGGATTGCAGCTGTGACCAAGCAAGATTGAACCTGAGCTAGTCTGTGGCGCTGGCCCTGGAGCAGTGGATTGTACACATTCATGCGGGTTGACCCAAGCCTTTACGGGTGGAGGTGAATATCGGACCTGTTCAGTGCTTCTTCTTGTGAGAATATTTTTGGTGAGGTACTGCCGCATAACCTGACACATGGTTCGCTGTAAAAGGATTGATGACTGGGATTTCTGGACTTCATGCTCAGTCACGTGCAATTATCCTTCTTCTACGGCTTCTGCTCGTGCGATCAACTTTAAAGTTCAGCTTCAGGATCAACATGAGCATGACGGCTTTCTTGTGGGAAATGATGGGGCTTGCCTTGAAATGCATCAAGGATTGTGACTAACATGACTGACCATGGCACTTGGGAGGCAGAGGGTTTTGTGGCATGGTTAGTCGCAGCTGCTCACACATGGCCCGCAAAGTTGGAGGAACTCCGAGGCGCATCATAGGAAGGCACGCCTTGTTGCGTGCCTCGGAACTTTTTGAGCTTCCCAGGTGAGATTCGAGATCAACAACATGATAAACACTCTGCAATCCTAGCACTGAAGCAGATAAGTGCCTAGTCCTCAAGTTGGACTCCCATTGAGCGGCTTTCAACCATTTCAACATGCGTTCAAGGGAGTATGACGTGGATACAAGGACAGTCAGTATACGTATACACCACCGGTCTATGCTGTCCCGCCTTACGCCTGCAGGCACCTCCAGTTAGGGCAAATAAGGCTGCATCAGGATGTTTCAGGATCCTTCCTCGGCAGGACTTGGTGGTAGATAAACTATGCGACCACATTACCGGAAATGTCTACGTGCCACCAGCATGTGTTGCGGGAACAATCTGGGTGACTTCTCCAAAGTATGGCAGGATTTTATTTGGCCTGCTTGTAGATCTTGTAGCTGTATCCGGCAGTGCCGGAGGAGAGAGCTTCGGCAATTTTTGAATGAGAGGGGAGTGGTAGCGGTACCTGCTGGGCATAGCGGGGTTCAACGCGCAGGGGGACCTGCCTTTTCTATATGTAGACGCTGCAGAACCCTTTTCTGTGCATGCGACTGCTTCGGTGCTTGAAAGAAGTGAGTTCAGTAGAAGCCCGACATTAACGTGACCTGATTCAAAGCATGGGGTCTTTGACACTTTGCTGGGATCTGCTCCAGTCCCTGTGACAGCCCCTTTTTTTGACGGTCCAGGCTACTGACCTTTAGCATGCAGTGCAAGTCAAGTTTATTTGTGCTTTGCACGGAATTTTGACGACCTCCCTCCGTCCGTAGAACACTGAAGCACGACTGCAAGATTCTGAGAAGGGTCCTGTCGTGACTTCGTGAGGAGCCCAAAAGCTCCAGGCCCCAATGACCAAACCTATGCTCTGCAAAACTAGGTTCTGACATTCGAGTCACACCAGTGTTCATGTCAGGTCAAGTACTACCACGGTGAGGATGAGGAGTGTGCCCTTGTGAAGCTGATGGCTGCTTGGCCCAGATTGCACAAGAGGATTCTCATCTGGTGTAGGAATAAGGCTGTTGCAGAGGATGTTGTATAGAATCATTCTCAATCTTCAGTTTGCAGTGTTCACAGACAGTCCCTGAAGAGTCATTCCGGTTTTGCTTTTTCAGCATTGATCCGTCCTTGTTGAGTATCACTATAGGAG